CGAAACAACATTTGTATTTCATGCTGTACAACAGGGATATTCATATTTATAACAGAACTGCACTGTCTCTGTCAAAATTCTGGAACTTCATTTTCTGAATGACATGAAACTTGCAAAGTATCTCAGGCATCTTTCATTGGAAAACATAGTTTGAGTTTCATATGTTCCTGAGATTGTGAGGAATCGAATGCCATGAACAAATATTTTCAATCGCTAATTACGCTAAAATAATTAGGTTTTTACATAACAGAAGACACACCATTCATATTAACGGCGATTGCAAAATTGCTCTTTGTATTTTCCAGAGTAACCCCGAGCGGACATATTATGAAAAGTACCAGGTGTCGTAGTCGCGGCCACTCGACTGCAGAAGCGCAAACGAAAAACTCGAATACTGAACAACTTATGAGAGAAATCCATCAGATGTCAAAAATTTATCTCAAAATATATATAGAGCTGCATTCTAGTGTAGTTATGTTTACGCAAAGAGTTTCACAGAACGAGCAAAAAAATAGGATTTATCTTAAAAATGTCTTATCTCAAGTTTTGGTTTCTAAAGGAGTATTTCAAGAACAAATTAAGAAAAATTTTCGAATAAGAGAAAAAAAATGAAAGAACAAGGTAGCGTATACCACAAAAATGCACACAGTCTATGTTTACTATTGTTACTCTCTAAGAAACAACATACTGTGAAACAGCATCCGAAAAGAGAATTTAGTAAATAAAAAGAGTTTTCTATTTCTATTCAACTCATTGGAATTCTGGATGGTTATTGCGCTTGTCAAAAGAGGTTACTACGAAGAAATCTGAGAGCGGCTTAATGAAACTGTTTCTACACATTTTTGTATTAGTAACAAAAATCAAAATTCGTTTTCTTCTATTTTTGGATATTTAAAATGAAGCTGTTTTATTTTTAGAGAGTATGAATTGAATGATGAGCGCTTCTATAAAGTGTGAACTTACCTATATGTTCAACTGATCTGAATTCAGTGAAATCCTCCTCGTCGTGATGATTTTTATAGGCTTGCAATAATGATCGATAGATATTGAGTTCATTTTGCAAGGATATATTCTTTTTTATAATGATGCCAACTTTAAGACGAATTTGAAAGATGACTTGTTGTTTTTGTTCAACTTGTACTTGATAATAATCGTCATTTCGTTGATTTGATGTTTCCCAATCTTTCAATTCAATAGTCAATTTTAATCGTTCATCTTTCAGTTTATTTAGTTCTGCATGAAAATCATCAATTTCTTTTTGTTTGTCTTTAATATTTGGCGCTGGTCCAGGTCCGCGTGATGACGGTATGTCTAGATGATTGTGGTCTAATTCATTTTTTTTTAGTTCAAACCATTCCACCATTCTTCTTTCATCGGTTTGCATTTGTCGTAGAAGCAATAAATCATAGAAATTTTCTACTTTTACTAATGTTTCATGTTTTTGTTTTCGAGCAAATTGATTAATGTCATAGATGGTGACTGTTGATAGTTTTTGCCCCAATTGTTGGCACTCCAAATCATGAATTTGTGTTACTAGAGATGTATTGTCTTCAATGGCTGATACTTGATAAACCAGTGATACTAATTTGCTCAATTCCTGTTCATAACCAATTTCAATATCTTCGATCTTTCGAGATAATTTTTCAATTTCTATCATCAACTTTTTCTGCTTTTCATCTAATTCTTGATCTTGAGCTATCAATACGTCCAATTCACTTTGCAACTTCCGTTCTTGTTCTTCTAAAATTTTCTGACGACTAAAATAACCACAAGAAAAGAAACCTTTTAGCTGCAATGAACAATCGCTCATTTCACTAATATATACCTTATTTTATGATAACCAATTTGTGATTCAGCATTCTTTCGTCGAACATCTTTGGCTTTCATCTCCAATCGATGATATTTTGACTCAGCTGCACATTTCCCTGCTAATTCATCCGAAATTTTCATTTGAATTGATTTAATTTTTTCCAAATATTCTTCGAATGCGAAGCGTTGAACTTTAGGAAGCTCGGCGACTTGAAGAGTGTAATTATGCTGTTTTTGTTCCGTTTCATGTTGAAGATATTGATATCGTCGAACTACATCATTCAATAAGTCATTCAATTCTCCAAGTTCGCCTATTTCGTGTGTAATATCACTCATCGCTGAAAGACAATGTTGTAAAGTATAGTCTTGAGTCTGTATAAACTTCAAAGTAGTTCCTTACTTTTCGTTGTTTCACAGTCAAAGCTGTTGCGAATATTTTTTTCTGACTTGTTCTTTGGTCTAGCTACGCTCTTTTTACAGAACAAGGATATTTACTCAAGTCTTATCAATAACTTGCTTTGATCTTGTTTGACGAGTAAAATAACACCTATGGTAGATGACTGACAGGCAAAAAGTTATCTCGACAAACAAATAAAATTGCGTTCTTTCCACATGGGCAAACTGAAGCTCCAAAGATAAACAAAGTACATAGACTTTTTAAAAGCTTCAAGTGCTATGGGAAAAAGGCAGTGAGTTTGTTATTTAGACACTTTAAAATGGCGAAACTTCGTCAATGACTATAGTTTTATTAAAACACGTCACGAGAAA